TTTTTTTTTTTGTTAGGGTCTTCTGGCTCTAACTATTACTTAGATAATGGTCTTTTCTTTGTCTTGGATCGGAGTTTCCTAGGCTTCTGAGTTGGTTTCGGTCATTTCGGCATTCATGACGTAGGTCATGTGATTGATGCCTATAAATAAGTTAACCGATCATCTACTAATTTCGGTTTTCTTTCTTTTTCTACTTTTCATTTTCCAGCTTATACATTTAGGTCTTTCACGGTTTTCTTTAGGATTTCTCCATTTTGGGTCAGTATATTTAGGCTTTCCTACTTCCAGCTTGGATTTCTCTACAAGTGGTTGAAACAAATCCGTCTTGATCACTTGCTTTCGGGCGCGTCGAGAGAGTAGATCTTGGATATGTTTTGGGTCTTGTTTCCAGTTTCTATATTGTTAGGTATTATTTTCTTATATTAGTTTCTCTAGCTTTTCCGGTTTTCAAATTTCGTTTAAGATCTTTTGCCATTTCTATGTCGGTTCTAGATCTTTCTAAGGTCAGATCTGCAGTGGCTTTAATGTTTATGCGACGTCTTTAAACTTTTAGAGAAATATTTTTTTTATTTAGCCTTTATTTTTCCCTTTATTTTGCATTCTTTTTTTCCAGAGTATTATTTTAGAACTATTGTCGTCTTGGTCATTCTTAGAGTCGTCATTTGTTCCAAAAATCATGGTCTTGTTCTTGGGTCGTCATCTTGGTTGTAAGTGTTGCTTTTAACCATTGTTCTTGATCTTGTTGCAGTTTTAGCATTCATACTGATTCTTTCCGAAGTAGTTTTCTTGCTGGTAATATATTAATACTTTTTTTTTTAACTTGTTCACCAGTTAGGGTTTTCTTTTCTTCAGCTGGATTACTTCATTTAACTTTCATTCTTGAACACGATTTGACCAAGACTTTTTTTTTGATTTTTTAGTCTTCCTTTACTTCTCTATTTAGTTCCACATCATTTTAAAATTTTTTTTCTTTTTTTTTTTTTTAAGATATTACTTTTAGTTTAGTATTGTCACCATTTCGAAATCGTCGTTTGTTTTTGAAGTCGTTGTTGATTTCAGAAATTGTCCTTGTATTCACTGTCGTAGTTTTCGAAATCGTTTATTTTGTTGTTGTAGAAACCGTCATTTTGTTGGAGTCGAGTATCCTTTTGAATTTCATTCTTGGTTTCGTTGTAAATTTTGGTATTTTTTTTATTTATTTTATTTTTTTTTTATGCTAATTTTTTTATGCCGGTCCTTTGTTCCTCTTTTTTTTTTTTTGTCTGGCTAATATTTTAAATATTGGCAAGTGTCGATTTCAATTACATAACCAGGTTCTTTTTCTAGTAATCAGATCTAGATATATATAAGAGCTGGGTTCTTCAACTCTTAATATAAGAGGACTGATAGACTTTGAAAGTTGATATAATAAATGTTTTTTTTTTTTTTCTCTTTGGAGCTTTAGTTCTATCAAAACTCGAAAGAACCAAAATAGTTCTTTTTTTTTTTTTGAGTTTTATATGATTCAGGTGCTGATTTCATTTTTGGGGATGATAATATTTGAGAAGAGGTAGATAATATATCTTTAACTTGTTTAATAGCACTATCACGATCTAATTTATCTAATTTATTTTTTTTTAAAATAAATTTTGGTTTAGATTTCTTTTTTTTCATTGCTTTATTCGTTGTCTTTTGATTGAGGTTCTAGTTATCCAAGTGATTTTCGGTATTTTAAATAAGTAGATCTAAGGTTTACTTAAGAATTACTTTGGCCGAATAAATAGAATCGATGATAATATTTAAAGAGGTCTGAATTCAGATTATTCGAAGACCTGTCTATGTGGAATAAATAGTAGAACGTGGGTCTTGCAGAAGCAATGTATCCTTTTTTCATTTTTTTTTTTTTTTTTTTTTTGTTTTGTTGCTTTCACTTTTTTTTTCCAAGCCTTAGTATCCAAGGCAAGAATTTCAGAATTGTCAGGGTTTCTTGGGACTTGGCGGCAAATAGTATTCCGAATATTATTGATATGTGCTAAAATTGGAACTTCAGCGTTCATCCAACAAATAGCTTTTTTTTTTTTTTTTTTTGAACTTAGCTTTTTTATTTCGGAGCGTTAACCAGATTCTTTTTCTCTTAGGATTTTTTGATGGCCGCTTTCTTTTAGATAATCAACATAGGGCTTCTGATTATTGAATCAAATGTCAATGAAATGACAGTTGGTTGATGATATAAGACAGAATCGAAAAAAAAAAGATATAGTTGATGACATGGGTTTGTGATGAGTTAAATCCGAAGTGAAATGGTCTGGAATATCAGATATTAGTAGGCACATCAAAATACGGAATAATTTAAGCTCTTTGTTCTTTATGAAGAATGATCCAATGAAATATCGTCTTTGGAGATTAAAGACTTTTAAGAGGTCGTCTAGAATTCTCCAGATAGGACTTCCAAACTTCAATTATCATTTCTAGATGTATAACAAATATTCGGTAAGTAGGTTTATTTGGTGTATTAGATTTAGAAAGAGAAATTCGAATTTGGTTAAGATGAAAATAGATAGAATTGGTGAAATTAAAGATAAGAAATAGGATAGTTTATAGTTAGAATTATCGAGGTGAGTTAGAGTTAGAATAAATGAAATGAGTTAAATTAGAGATAGTTCAATGTTAGGGAAATGGGTTTGGGTTTATAGTTATAAGTTGGGGTTTAGTAGTAGAAATAGACTGGGTTTTTACCAAAAATGAGTTAAATGGGTTTGATTATGATTAGGTAGAGTGGAAATGGGTTTTGGGTTTAGAATTAGAGAATCAGATTTAAGGTAAAGAATGAATAAAATGAATTGAGGTTCGGGATGAATTAAATTGATTGGGTATAATGATTTGGAATTCCAGAGGTTTAGAATTAGGAAAGAGGATAGTTTGTAATTAGAGATAGGATTGGGTTAGAGATGGATAGAATAAATTAAGTTGATTTCGGGTAGTTATGATTAGGAAATTAGAATCGATTATGTACGCATGTTGAATTTAAATTAGTGTAATAAATAATGATAAATAAATAGATAGGTTATTTTTATAAATGGTCATATACATATATATATGCTAAGAACTAAAAATTGGCATAAGTTCTTTTGCTTCACTTTAGTCACATAATATAGTTCTTCGTTTCGAATATGTGACCAAATGGCGAATTGAGCTCTTTAATGATTTAGAACATTTTTTTTTTTTTTTTTTTTTTTAGAAAACTATAGATATTTCATATTAGAGAGTACGTAGTAGAACTTTCCTAGCTCTAGCATTCGAAGAGTACGTGATAGAATCTTCCTAGCTTCGATAGTATCGTATAGACTTCCAAGACATAAAATTTTCTGAGTTTATATTTACAGAGTTGGGATTACTTATGCCTACACTTTGGCTCGTAGATAATCTGCGCTTAACACTCTTGGTTAAGGTTTGCAGTAAGCTGCGAGCTATGGGTCCTTACGCCTACACATTTGGCTCATGGGGTACCCGTCCAAAGGATCTAACCTCGAGGTTGCAGTAAGCTGCGAGCTCTGGGTGCTATGAAAGCAGAGGCTTCAAGTGGCCCTTCTGTACAAGTCTCTTTCAACTTGATAGAACTTTCCAGATGCTACGAAAGCAGAGGCTTCAAGTGGCCCTTCTGTACAAGTCTCTTTCAACTTGACAGGACTTTTCAGGTGCACTATTACTACTTTAGTAATAGGCATTCACAAATAAATAAAGTAATCTTTAGGAGAGGATATCCAAGTTAATAGGTCCAATATTTTCAAGCTTCTTGGGAGATTTTCCATAATTTCAGAGGAGACATTTT